ACACTTACCTTTATTGAAGATCTGGTGATGATTGTTGGGATGGGAAGAGGGGAGAGTGTTGATGGTCTTAGTGTTTAGAAGGGGAATCCCCTTCCATTAGGACTTGAGGTGGCAAGTCCTTTTCCGGGGTTACTTCCCTTCCCTTTAATATGGCGTCTCGAGACATAAGACACTCTTAGTGATTTTAATATGTACCTGCACACTAGCACAGTGTGTAAGTTTATTTAGGTACAGGTATACTTTTTTATTATTATTATCACACTGGCCGATTCCCACCAAGGCAGGGTGGCACGAAAAAGAAAAACTTTCACCATCATTCACTCCATCACTGTCTTGCCAGAAGGGTGCTTTACACTACAGTTTAAACTGCAACATTAACACCCCTCCTTCATAAGTATAATTATCAGAGTATACAGTGGACCCTCGACCAACGATGGCATCGATTAACGATAAATCCGACTAGCGATACATTTTAACACAAGATTTTTGCCTCGACTAGCGCTAAAAAACTCGACCAACACTATTTGTTCCGTCAGACGTGTCCACTTCTGGCCAGTGTTTACAAGCCAGCCAGCCACCGCGGTCGCTTCCAAGCATACAATCGGAACATTTCATGTTATCACAGCCTTTTTAGTGATTGCACCTGCAAAATAAGTCACTATGGGCCCCAAGAAATCTTCTAGTGCCAACCCTACAGCAAAAAGGGTGAGAATTATTATGGATATGAAGAAAGAGATCATTGCTAAGTATGAAAGTGGAGTGCGTATCTCCGAGCTGGCCAGGTTGTACACAAAACCCCAATCAACCATCGCTACTATTGTGGCCAAGAAAACGGCAATCAAGGAAGCTGTTCTTGCCGAAGGTGCAACTATGTTTTCGAAACTGAGATCGCAAGTACTCGAAGATGTTGAGAGACTGTTATTGGTGTGGATAAACAAAAAACAGATAGCAGGAGATAGCATCTCTCAAGCGATCATATGTGAAAAGGCTAGGAAGTTGCATGACGATTTAATAAAAAAAAATGCCAGAAAACTAGTGGTGTTTGGGAGTGAATTTAAGGCCAGCAAAGGTTGGTTTGAGAGATTTAACCCTTTGAGGGTCGACAGGCCCTCTCCGAAACTCGTTCTCAGGGTCGGCCAAATTTAAAAAAAAAAAAAATTATTTTTTCTTATGAAAAAATAGAGTTTTTTTTTCTAAACATTATAGGATAAACAAAAAAAATTTACCATCAATACTTACGGAGATATGGATGCATGAAGTTTGCAGAAAATGAGCTGCGTATGGCAACAGCAGCAACTGCCGCTCACCCGGTAAACTTTAGTTTACTTGTATTTGAAGGTTTGTTGTTTTTTTCACTATTTTATTTTTTCACATAACTTATGTGGCCTATGAGACCAAAGTAAGGTGCAATGTAAAATATATACACTCGTTGTATTCAACACAATAAGCACACAAACATAATTATCAATATATTGTTTACAAAACTTGTTTACAAAAACAAACAATACAAAACATTGTTTATTATTATTGTTCTATAATATATATACCAATATACAGTCACTGAACATATTCCTATTAGTTCTGCAGCTTGTGGAACTCTGAAACATGGTGTCATACACAATGGTGTTTTATCTTTCTCCCTCATTCTATCTCTTTCAATCTGTCTCTCTATTTCTATCTGTCTGTCTATCTCTGTCTCACAGGTACACATAAATACAAGTATACATAGTATAAATTACCTAGGATAACCCAAGAAATCCAGACAAAGTGCTATACTCTGCTTGAAGATGTGAGTAAAAGTGATGACACAGTCTTGTGGCTTCTGAGACAGAGAGCTAGACGGATATGACAGATAGACAGGGAGCTTGACAGACAGACAAATAGACAGACAGAAATGTTAGTGTACCAGTACCAGTGTACTAGTGTTCCACCCTCCTCCTCCTCTTCTTCCTCTTCCCCCTACTCTTCCTCCTCTTCCCCCTACTCTTCCTCATACTCTTCCTCTTCCTCCTCCTCCTCTTCCTCCTCTTCCTCCTACTCTTCCTCTTCCTCCTACTCTTCCTCCTCTCTCCTCCTCTTCTTCTTCCTCTTCCTCCTCTTCCCCCTAATCTTCCTCCTAATATTCCTCTTCCTCCTCCTCTTCCTCTTATTCCTCTTCCTCCTACTCTTCCTCTTCCTCCTCCTCCTCTTCCTCCTCCTCCTCTTCTTCCTCTTCCCCTACTCTTCCTCCTTCCTTCTCCTCCATAGTGTAAATTACCAGGAGTCGGCAGCTGTCAAAATGACATATTGTCTCATTACTACACCCCCCTCCCGCCTGTCAAAACAATGGGGTCGGATGCTGCTTCCCTTCCTCCATTCTATCTAATTATCTTTCTCCCTCATTCTATCTGTCTTTTTATCTCTGTCTCACAGGTACACATAAATACAAGTATACATAGTATAAATTACCTAGGATAACCCAAGAAACCCAGACAAAGTGCTATACTCTGCTTGAAGATGTGAGTAAAGTGATGACACAGTCTTGTGGCTCTCTGAGACAGAGAGCTAGACGGATAGACAGGGAGCTTGACAGACAGGCAAATAGACAGACAGAAATGTTAGTATACCAGCAAAAACAAAAGGAGGGAGATGTTTATCTCATTTTTGGCATCAGCTCTTTCCCTCATTTACCCTCATCAAACGTCAGCACTTATCAGATGTTATCTCCCTTATCTTGTTACTGTCATGGGTGAACATTTATTATTATCTATTATTATTATTATGTATTATTATTATTTATTATTATTATGTATTATTATTATTATGTATTATTGTTATCATTACGTATTCTTCTTCTTCCTCCTCCTCCTCTTTCTTCTTCCTCCTCCTCCTCCTCTTCTTCTTCCTCCTCCTTCCTCATCCTCTTCTTCCCTCCTCCTCCTCCTCCTCTTCTTCTCCTCCTCCTCCTCCTCTTCTTCTTCCTCTCCTCCTCCTCCTCTTTTCCTCCTCCTCCTCTTGCCTCCTCCTCCTCTTGCCTCCTCCTCCTCTTGCCTCCTCCTCCTCTTGCCTCCTCCTCCTCTGCCTCCTCCTCCTCCTCCATTCTTGGAACAAGTTTGAAGAGCTTGTTGTTCATAATCACTATCACTATCATCACCAATGCTCACATCTGAGTCTGGGATTTTGGGGAAAAAAGGAGTTTCCTCTTTGATTCTGGTACAACTGAACGTGAACAAGATGGCCCAGCACCAGAGGTGGAAGGCTGTGGGTTGTCTGGGTTTTCCTCACTATTACCCATATTATGGTCATTAGTTTCGGTCAAAACCTCACCAGAACCTTGAAACTCATCTTCACTGTCACTTCCATCTGTATTAGAACTGTCACTGGGGAACAAAAGTGTCCCAATTCGCCGAGGAGTGAGGAACTTCTTACCACAGGGCACGTGGAAATTGTGTACTATGATGGCATTCCCACAATGCACCACTGGGTCCCAGATTTTTTTCCTACTGCGCACACCCACCACACGGACCCATTCTCTCACATCTAGGCTTATCAGCCTTTTCCTGTGAGATTTGAGGCCGCTAGAATTTATGCGTACTAGTACGACAAAAACCCCTACGCATAAGACGTACTAGTACGACCAAAACCCTTAAAGGGTTAAATGGCATATATTACGTTATTATACACATTTTCTTTAATTCAGCTATGATATTTTTTCAAAATTATATAATAAACATGATACATAACATATAAAGATGATAAATACACCCCACAATAAAATAAATAAACATAAATGTGAGATGTCATAGCCAGATAACTTGTACAAGTGACAGCAAGAATAACATTTTCTCTAGTCCAACATAAGAGAAAATGTGTTACTGCGGGTAACTGCAGAAAATTATTCCTTTCGTATGTAAGTTTATTCAGGTATACACAAATACAGTTACATAGATTATCATACATAGCAGCATATGTGTAAAGTACCTAGGATAACCCAAAAAAGTCACAGAGTGACTTATTTTCATTGCCTTCACTCAGAGCGTCATTTCTTCTAAAAATGGTGCTTTGAGAATGGGAGTGTTCCTCTTTATTTATTCTACCGTATCAATGTAGAGACAACTTGTACACAATGTAACTTGTACACAAACTTGACGTGTGCACCTGGTTTGTTTACAAAACTGGCATTCGCCTGGTTTGTTTACATTACTCTGCACCTGTCCTCCCTCATGTACTCATTCTCTCTCTCTCATTTATTTGTTTTATCTCATTTACTCACCACTGACTCTACATTAAGACTACAAATATTTTAAGGTAAGTAATGAGTGTACAATATGTGCATTTTACTTATTTATTGTTTTTTAAAGCCTAGTTCTATTGCTAACTTAATATATGTTAGTGTAAACTTGTTATCTAGTATTGTATGCATTTATAAGTGGAAAAAAAGGTGTTCTACTTTACGGCGATTTCCGCTTTACGGCGGTAGCCTGGAACCTAACCTGCTGTATAAGTGGGGCCCTACTGTAGCAGTATCAGCAAAATCTTGGTATTCTTTCATCCCTACATAGTATTTCAATAAAAATCTAGGTAGGCAGTTATATAAGAAAGATTTGAACAAAGGGCACAAACATCATGAACAGTGAAGCCTCAGCAAACTAACACCCTCACCTGACTTCCTAAGGCAGCCACTGTGCTTCTCAAGCTCTTAAACTCAATTTTTGCTAACCAGTTTTCCCTGTCTTCCCTTTCCTTGGATTGAACCTGATTGCCTCCCATTCTCCCAGGCACTGCATGACCCTATGTGTTTAGCACTCACTCCCACCTCCCCCCACCCTCCATGAATGCAAATTAATACATAATGAAGCAATTAAGACAACTTAATCAAAGCTCTAAATATCTTATATATCACTGAGCTGAATTTGGTGACTCAATCTGACTCTCCTCTGATGAAACTCTGGCAAAGCTATTATAAAATTATCGTGCATAACTTAAAACTAATATGAATAAACAAACCAAAAAAGACATACCTAACACCTTTCTCCAGAACTAGCAGGTCAATCATACTTGCTGTTACAGTTGCAATGTGTCGGACATTGATCATCATGTATGGTCGGGATATGGTTGTCATGTCCCAGTAGTCTACAAGTATAACAACACACACTGCATCGTGGTCCAACATAGCTGCCAAGAAATATTAACAAAATGCAGAAGGCATCAAGGTCTAAACATAATTACAGCTTCTCCTCACTTAGCGACGCACTCGTTCACCAACAATTCTGACTTACGATGGGCTCTCTGACCAGCATACATACCTAAATAATGTATATTACAGCTGAGTTCCTCTATTCTATTTATTACAATATACAGTACAATACTGTATAAACATTTAAAAATATACCAGTAAAGTTATAAATGGTGCAAAGGTGACATTAAAACGACATCACAGATGGATGGCACAAACCCACCATTATAGTATGCTCCTCACTTAGCGACGAATTCGTTTATCAGTGTGGTCTTGGGAACGGAACTCCGTCGTTAAATGAGGAGAGGCGGTATATGATAAATAAATAACTACTCTCACTGATAAATAAAAAAAATAATTACTGTAAACTAACTAAATACCAGACTGAAGGGAGAGAGAATGGAGGAGGTGAATGTATTCAGATATTTGGGAGTGGATGTGTCAACAGATGGGTCTATGAAGGATGAGGTGAATCACAGAACTGATGAGGGGAAAAGGGCGGTGGTGCACTTAGGAGCCTGTGGAGACAAAGAACTTTGTCCGTGGAAGCAAAGAGGGGAATGTATAAGAGTATAGTTATAACAACATTCTTATATGGGTATGAAGCATGAGTGGTGAATGTTGCAACAAGGAGAAGGCTGGAGGCAGTAGAGATGTCATGTCTGAGGGCAACGTGTGGTGTGAATATAATGCAGAGAATTCGTAGTTTGGAAATTAAGAGAAGGTGCGGATTACCAAAATTATTATCCAGAGGGCTGAGGAAGGGTTGTTGAGGTGGCTCGGACATGCAGAGAGAATGGGACGAAACAGAATGACTTCAAGAGTGTATAAATCTGTAGTGGAGGGAAGGCGGGGTAGGGGTTGGCCTAGGAAAGGTTGGAGGGAGGGGGTAAAGGAGGTTTTGTGTGCGAGGGGCTTGGACTTACAGCAAGCATGTGTGAGCATATTTTAGGATCTGACATGCTGTTAGAATGTGAGCAGGGTAACAGTTATGAAGGGATTCGGGGAAACCGGCAGGCCAGACTTGAGTCCTGGAGATGGGAAGTACAGTGTCTGCACTCTGAAAGAGGGGTCTTAATGTTGGAGTTTTATAACTGCAGTGTAAGCATGTCTCTGGCAAGACAGTGATGGAGTGAATGATGATGAAAGTTTTCTTTTTCAGGCCACCTTGTCTTGGTGGGAACCAGCTGATGTGTTAATAAATAAAAACTAAATACATACCAAAAGCAGGAGACAAACTTGGGTGTTCAGAGACATAATAAACTTGGGAAAATTTGATTAAACACAGAAAAAAGTTTGATGATTACTGAATGTGCATTGCTATCACACTTTCGTAAAGTCAAAATATAATAAGTTGAACCATCATAAAGCGAGAGGAGCATCTGTACATGAAGCAAAGCACTAAAACCATGTGACTTGTTCAGTACAAGGTGAGGTGGAGCCTTAACCCACTGTCTGATAAAACCATGCAAGTTGTTCAGTACAAGGTGAGGTGGAGCCTCCACCCACTGTCTGATAAAACCATCCGAGCCATTCAGTATAAGGTGAGGTGGAGCCTCCACCCACTATCTGATAAAACCATGTGAGTCATTCAGTACAAGGTGAGGTGGAGCCTACACCCACTGTCTGATAAAACCATGCGAGTCATTCAGTACAAGGTGAGGTGGAGCCTACACCCACTGTCTGATAAAACCATGCGAGTCATTCAGTACAAGGTGTGGAGCCTACACCCACTGTCTGATAAAACCACATGAGTCATTCAGTACAAGGTGAGGTGGATCCTCCACCCACTATCTGATAAAACCATGTGAGTCATTCAGTACAAGGTGAGGTGGAGCCTACACCCACTGTCTGATAAAACCATGCGAGTCATTCAGTACAAGGTGAGGTGGAGCCTACACCCACTGTCTGATAAAACCATGCGAGTCATTCAGTACAAGGTGTGGAGCCTACACCCACTGTCTGATAAAACCACATGAGTCATTCAGTACAAGGTGAGGTGGAGCCTACACCCACTGTCTGATAATCATGGAACACAGTTCCGAATTTTATTCACTGATGTTCTAAATGGAAAAAAATTAAAGTTAGTTATCATCTTATGAGCCAAGAGCCCAAAGCAAATAACCTCGTGTTCTGTCTTACTTATCAATCTATTAACCCATAAACGGTCCAAATGTATATATACGTCCTCTCACCCAGCGCTCTGAATATTTTGAAAAAAAAAAAAGAAATTAAATAGAAATAAAGAGCGCATTTTTCTGAGTGTTATAGGATAAAAACAAATTTAGGGTCAGTACTTACCGAGACATGAGGCCGTGAAGTTGGCACTGGATGCTCACCTGACGACAACATCAATTCCTATCACTTGCAGAAGAGTTGCCGATATACCTTTTTTTCTCGTTTTTATATTTTATATAATTTTTATGTTCTGATAATTACAATTTATAGTAGTTCTTGTGATTTCATAGCCAATCTTTCTTCTGACACTAATATTAGGAAATGAAACTGTACACAAATTGTCACAAACAAACTGACAAGTGAACATTTACACCTCCCTTGCTCATTTACTATTGTTTAGGAATATATACAGAGTATTCATAGGTCCCAGCAATGTTTTGGATATGCAGGAGTACATGGTACATAATAATAATAATAATAATAATAATAATAATAATAATAATAATAATAATAATAATAATAATAAAAATAATAAAAATAATAATAAAAATATAATAATAATAATAATAATAATAATAATAATAATAATAATAATAATAATAATAATAATAATAAAATAATAATATATCGGATCATTATTTAGTTGAAGCTACAGTCAGAGTAAGAGGTAGATGGGAAAAAAGGAAGGTGGCAACAACAAGTAAGAGGGAGGTGAAAGTGTATAAACTAAGGGAGGAGGAAGTTCGGGTGAGATATAAGCGACTATTGGCAGAAAGGTGGGCTAGTGCAAAGATAAGTAGTGGGAGGGGATGTTGAAGAGGGTTGGAATAGTTTTAAAAATGAAGTATTAGAATGTGGGGCAGAAGTTTGTGGTTATAGGAGGGTGGGTGCAGGAGGAATGAGGAGTAACTGGTGGAATGATGAAGTAAAGGGTGTGATAAAAGAGAAAAAGGTAGCTTATGAGAGGTTTTTACAAAGCAGAAGTGTTATAAGAAGAGCAGAGTATATGGAGAGTAAAAGAAAGGTGAAGAGAGTGGTGAGAGAGTGCAAAAGGAGAGCAGATGATAGAGTGGGAGAGGCACTGTCAAGAAATTTTAATGAAAATAAGAAAAAATTTTGGAGTGAGTTAAACAAGTTAAGAAAGCCTAGGGAAAGTATGGATTTGTCAGTTAAAAACAGAGTAGGGGAATTAGTAGATGGGGAAAGGGAGGTATTAGGTAGATGGCGAGAATATTTTGAGGAACTTTTAAATGTTGAGGAAGAAAGGGAGGCGGTAATTTCATGCACTGGCCAGGGAGGTATATCATCTTTTAGGAGTGAAGAGGAGCAGAATGTAAGTGTGGTGGAGGTACGTGAGGCATTACGTAGAATGAAAGGGGGCAAAGCAGCTGGAACTGATGGGATCATGACAGAAATGTTAAAAGCAGGGAGGGATATAGTGTTGGAGTGGTTGGTACTTTTGTTTAATAAATGTATGAAAGAGGGGAAGGTACCTAGGGATTGGCGGAGAGCATGTATAGTCCCTTTATATAAAGGGAAAGGGGATAAAAGAGATTGTAAAAATTATAGAGGAATAAGTTTACTGAATATACCAGGAAAAGTATACAGTAGGGTTATAATTGAAAGAATTAGAGGTAAGACAGAATGTAGGATTGCAGATGAGCAGGGAGGCTTCAGAGTGGGTAGGGGATGTGTAGATCAAGTGTTTACATTGAAGCATATATGTGAACAGTATTTAGATAAAGGTAGGGAAGTTTTTATTGCATTTATGGATTTAGAAAAGGCATATGATAGAGTGGATAGAGGAGCAATGTGGCAGATGTTGCAAGTATATGGAATAGGTGGTAAGTTACTAAATGCTGTTAAGAGTTTTTATGAGGATAGTGAGGCTCAGGTTAGGGTGTGTAGAAGAGAGGGAAAATACTTCCTGGTAAAAGTAGGTCTTAGACAGGGATGTGTAATGTCACCATGGTTGTTTAATATATTTAAAGATGGGGTTGTAAAAGAAGTAAATGCTAGGGTGTTCGGGAGAAGGGTGGGATTAAATTATGGGGAATCAAATTCAAAATGGGAATTGACACAGTTACTTTTTGCTCATGATACTGTGCTTATGGGAGATTCTAAAAGAAAAATTGAAAAGGTTAGTGGATGAGTTTGAGAATGTGTGTAAAGGTAGAAAGTTGAAAGTGAACATAGAAAAGAGTAAGGTGATGAGGGTATCAAATCATTTAGATAAAGAAAAATTGGATATCAAATTGGGGAGGAGGAGTATGGAAGAAGTGAATGTTTTCAGATACTTGGGAGTTGACGTGTCAGTGGATGGATTTATGAAGGATGAGGTTAATCATAGAATTGATGAGGGAAAAAAGGTGAGTGGTGCATTGAGGTATATGTGGAGTCAAAAAACGTTATCTATGGAGGCAAAGAAGGGAATGTATGAAAGTATAGTAGTACCAACACTCTTATATGGATGTGAAGCTTGGGTGGTAAATGCAGCAGCGAGGAGACAGTTGGAGGCAGTGGAGATGTCCTGTCTAAGGGCAATGTGTGGTGTAAATATTATGCAGAAAATTCGAAGTGTGGAAATTAGGAGAAGGTGTGGAGTTAATAAAAGCATTAGTCAGAGGGCAGAAGAGGGCTTGTTGAGGTGGTTTGGTCATTTAGAGAGAATGGATCAAAGTAAGTAGAATGACATGGAAAGCATATAAATCTAGAGGGGAAGGAAGGAGGAGTAGGGGTCGTCCTCGAAAGGGTTGGAAAGAGGGGGTAAACGAGGTTTTGTGGGCGAGGGGCTTGGACTTCCAGCAAGCATGCATGAGCGTGTTAGATAGGAGTGAATGGAAACGAATGATACTTGGGACCTGACGATCTGTTGGAGTGTGAGCAGGGTAATATTTAGTGAAGGGATTCAGGGAAACTGGTTATTTTCATATAGTCGGACTTGAGTCCTGGAAATGGGAAGTACAATGCCTGCACTTTAAAGGAGGGGTTTGGGATATTGGCAGTTTGGAGGGATATGTTGTGTATCTTCATATGTATATGCTTCTAAACTGTTGTATTCTGAGCACCTCTGCAAAAACAGTGATAATGTGTGAGTGTGTTGAAAGTGTTGAATGATGAAAGTATTTTCTTTTTGGGGATTTCCTTTCTTTTTTGGGTCACCCTGCCTCGGTGGGAGACGGCCGACTTGTTGAAAAAAAAAAATAAATAAATAATAATAATAATAATAATATCTAGGTAGTAGGTTGGTAGACAGCAACCGCCCAGGGAGGTACTACCGTTCTGCCAAGTGAGTGTAAAACAGAAGCCTGTAATTGTTTTACATGATGGTAGGACTGCTGGTGTCCTTTTTTCTGTCTCATAAACATGCAAGATTTCAGGTACGTCTTGCTACTTCTACTTACACTTAGGTCACACTACACATTCATGTACAAACATATATATACACACCCATCTGGGTTTTCTTCTATTTTCTTTCTTGTTCTTGTTTATTTCCTCTTACCTCCATGGGGAAGTGGAACAGAATTCTTCCTCCGTAAGCCATGCGTGTTGTAAGAGGCGACTAAAATGCCGGGAGCAAGGGGCTAGTAACCCCTTCTCCTGTATATATTACTAAATGTAAAAGGAGAAACTTTCGTTTTTCCTTTTGGGCCACCCCACCTTGGTGGGCCACCCCGCCTCGGTGGGCCACCCCGCCTCGGTGGGCCACCCGGCCTCGGTGGGATACGGCCGGTGTGTTAAAAGAAAGAATAATAATAATAATAAGTTCCTTTCAAGCATGATGTAAGACCAGTGTCAGTCCACTGCTGACAGTGCAGTGGTGACATTTGATGAGTGTCTACGGCCCTGCCTTTATTTGTTTTCACTGTTACACACAAACATGTCTGTCTGTCTCTGTCTGTCTAGTTCTGTCTGTCTGTCTAGTTCTATCTGTCTGTCTAGTTCTCTGTTTATCTCTGTCTGCTTATTTGTCTCTCTCTCTCTCTCTCTGCTTGTCTCTCACTCTGTCTCAGAAAGAGCCACTTGTGAACCAACAGGTATTACATACGACTGCGTCATCACGTCTGGTTCCTGAGCAAGTGTAAATACGCATTTGCCAGTCATGTTTAAGCATTATATCTACAAGCACAGTACAGCACTTTGTCTAGATTTTTTGGGTTATCCTAGGTAATTTACATTATGTATAATTGTATTTGTGTACCTGTGAGACAGAGACAGAGAGACAGATAGACAGAGACAGGTAAAAAGTGATAAACAGACAGAGATACACACATACAGACAGACAGACGGAGATAGAGCCAGTCAGCCAGCAGCCGGCCAGCCAGTTGGCCAGCTTTTTAATACTGCACACACCGAGTGTTAAGACCCATTCTATGCTGATCAGGGATCTCAGGCCAATCATGCCAAATTTGGAGGCAGGAAAAATAAAACTTAGATCTACATTAGGAGCACTAGCGGTAAGAACGTACATACGTATACGTTTGGACCGTTTATGGGTTAAAGTTACTAATATCTAGCAATGTCTCAATGTTATATGCAACTTAGCTAGTTTAGTTTAATTGCTTAGTTGCCAGGATTTAGAATCATATTCTGAAATGATTCTAAGTTCTGCATAGTAGAATATAACAATGCAGGATAATAATGATGAATTATGGGTGTGAGTACTTTATAAAACTGGGTCAAAAACAATAAAACTACAATGCATACTTCTTACCATTAGTGAGGTTGATTACCCAGGGTCTGATGGATGACTCAGTGTATCCATGGATGATGATAAACACTGGTGTGGAAGAAGAGACTGGCAGTAACTCCATGCCTTCTTTTGTTGCTTTAAACTCTTTCCTGTCTTCATGCGAACTGTTAAAAAGATATAAGGATATGAGAGATACAGCCTCTCCTCACTTAGTGACGTATTTGTTTACTGACGATTCGAACTTACGACGGGCATGCATACTATACCTAAATAATGCATATTAGAGCCGATATCCTCTCATCCTCTCTTCTGTTTATTACAATATACAGTACACTACTATATAAACATTTAAAAGTATACCAGAAATGTTATAAATGGTGCAAAGGTGACATTAAAACAATATCAAAAATGGTTGACACAAACCCACTACCATTACAGTATGGAAGGAAACTTCGTCATTAAGTGAAGAGAGGCGTATTATGTACATGTATATATATTTTTTTGTAGGTAGTAAGTTGGTAGACAGCTGCCACCCAGGGAGGTACTACCATCCTTCCAAGTGAATGTAAAATGAAAGACTGTAATTGTTTTACATGATGGTAGGATTGCTGGTGTTTTTTCTGTCTCATAAACATGTAAGGTTTCAGGTATGTCTTGCTACTTCTACTTACACTTACGTCACAACACATACATGTACAAGCATATATATACACACACCCCTCTGGGTTTTCTTCTATTTTCTTACTAGTTCTTGTTCTTGTTTATGTCCTCTTATCTCCATGGGGAAGTGGAACAGAATTCTTCCTCCGTAAGCCATGTGTGTTGTAAGAGGCAACTAAAATGCCAGGAGCAAGGAGCTAGTAACCCCTTCTCCTGTATATATTACTAAATGTGAAAGGAGAAACTTTTTGTTTTTCCATTTGGGCCACCCCGCCTCGGTGGGATATGGCCGGTGTGTTGAAAGAAAGAAAGATGTATATTTTTTTGTAGGTAGTAGGTTGGTAGACAGCAACCACCCAGGGAGGTACTACCGTCCTGCCAAGCGAGTGTAAAACGAAAGCCTGTAATTGTTTTACATGATGGTAGGATTGCTGGTGTCTTTTTTTTTCTGTCTCATACACATGCAAGATTACAGGTACATCTTACTACTTCTACTTAGGTCACACTACACATACATGTACAAGCATATATATACACACTCCTCTGGGTTTTCTTCTATTTTCTTTCTAGCTCTTGTTCTTGTTTATTTCCTCTTACCTCCATGGGGAAGTGGAACAGAATTCTTCCTCCATAAGCCATGCGTGTTGTAAAAGGCGACTAAAATGCCAGTAGCAAGGGGCTAGTAACCCCTTCTCCTACATATACATGTATTACTAAATGTAAAAGGAGAAACTTTCGTTTTTCCTTTTGGGCCACCCCACATCGGTGGGATACAGTTGGTGTGTTGAAAGAAAGAAGTATATATTTTTTTTAGCACACTGACTATCTCCCACCAAAACAGGGTGACCCAGAAAAGGAAAAACTAAAATTTTTCTTTTTAAATTTAGTAATGCATACAGGAGAAGGGATTACTAGTCCCTTGCTCCCAGCATTTTAGTCGCCTCTTATGACACACATGGCTTACGAAGGAAGGATTCTTTTCCACTTACCCATCTACCTGGAGTCTACCTGGAGGGCATTACGGAGATCAACGCCCCAGCGGCCTGGTCCACAACCAGGCCTCCCGGTGGATCAGGGCCTGAACAACGAGGCTGTTACTGCTGGCCACACGTAGTCCAACATACAAACCACAGACCAGCAGTTGTGGCACTGACTTTTGAAGACAACCAGGGATCTATTGGTAATTCCCCTTATGGCTGTTGAGAGGCTGTTGAAGTCTTAGACCCCATGGAGTAAATTTTTTTTTTTTTATTAACACGTCGGCCATTTCCCACCAAGGCAGGGTGCCCAAAAAAAAAGAAAAACTTTCATCATCATTCAATCCATGACTGTCTTCCCAGAGGCACACTTACACTGCAGTTATAAAACTGCAACATTAACACCCCTCCTTCAGAGCGCAAGCACTGTACTTCCCATCTCCAGGACTCAAGTCCGGTCTGCCAGTTTCCCTGAATCCCTTCATAAATATTACCTTGCTCACACTCTAACAGCACATCAAGTCCTAAAAACCATTTGTCTCCATTTGGTCCTATCTAACATGCTCATGCATGCTTGCTGGAAGTCCAAGCCCCTTGCACACAAAACCTTCTTTACCCCCACCCTCCAACCTTTCCAAGGCCAATCCCTACCCCGCCTTCCTTCCACTACAGATTTATACACTCTCAAAATCATTCTATTTTGTTCCTTCTTTTCTACATGTCCGAACCATCTCAATAACCCCTCCTCAGCCCTTTGCATAATAGTTTTGGTAATCCTGCACCTCCTCCTAATCTCCAAATCATGGATTCTCTGCATTATAGTCACACCACACATTGCCCTCAGACATGACATCTCTACTGCCTCCAGCCTTCTCCTTGTTGCAACATTCACCACCCATGCTTCACACCCAAATAAGTGTGCTGGTACTCTCATGCTTTATTAAAATAAAAAATATATCAAGCTAAAAACTACAAAAATTAGAACAGGAGATAAAAAATTTCACATGCTCAGTCAATCCAAAAATATAAATATTTTTTTATGGCTTTCTATTTAGTTTTGTCTTGCTACCTGGAGGTTACCTGGAGGTTATTCTGGGGATCAACGTCCCCGCGGCCCAGTCCATGACCAGGCCTCCCGAAAACTTGATTGATTGATTGATGATCCACCCCTCGCCGGGAATCGAACCCGGACCCTCACCGTGTGAAGCGAGAGCTTTCGCCACCAGACATAATACTGTACAGTAAAAGAAACCATGGAAGAGGTGGAGTTTGAACCCATGGAAGGTGAGTCCTAAAACTCCAGGCCAGCGTGTAAGCCACTTGGCCATGGGTTCGAACCACACCTGTTCCGTGGGTCACTTGCAATCATGTTGTGATGATTTCATATTGTACAGTAGTAAATGAAGAATTAAAAAAAAAAAGTCACATCTATCAATAACTGTCATGTCTGCCTAGAACAGAATGTGAAGTGTAGAATCATAAACCTGAGGTTTTCATGAGGAAATTATTATGCATGTAGAAGCAGGAAATGTTGCCAACCTTCTTCCTACCCACCTAGGATTGTGTGTGTGTATATGTATGCATGTATGTATGTAGAACAAGCCACATGGGCATCAAAATGGTATAAAATACCAACAGGTTGGTAGGTAAGACACAAAGGCAACAGTTAGGCAACTTTATTCCGAAACGTTTCGCCTACAACAGTTCTCACTTGACCTATCAGTGGCTATATTCTCACTACTACTACTACTATGCACCTCTCCTTCCGACAGTATTTAAGTCTCCGCACTGTCGCTTGATCTTCAGATAGTTCCTGACTATGGAACTGAACTCTCCAGGCTGAGGGACTGACAACCTCAAATTCTACGACTTCAAGGGTGATGGACTGATTACATCGTCTTCACATCTCTACTGTTCCTGCCTACTTTCTGTATTCGACTGAAGAAGCCTACTGTGTAGGCGAAACGTTTCGGAATAAAGTTGCCTAACTGTTGCCTTTGTGTCTTACCTACCAAGCCACATGGGGATGGAAATCTTTAGCTCAAGCTCTTTCACACTTTCTGTGCATCATCAGGAGCCTTGCAATGTTGCAAGGCTAGCAACAGATAGTAGGAGGAAAAGATTTTTTCTGAGCCAAGGTAGAAACGTAAAGCATCAGGCCATGTCACAAATAAATGTATGTATATATTCCGAGGACACATTCTCAGGTATCAAATGTTACTATCAAACAATTTCACAAGTTGGAACTCATTTTTCACCAGGTTTAAATCCACAGAAACATAAATAACAAACATGTAGGATGCTTCATACAATGCTACATACAATTTATTCTTATGCAGATTACTGCATTATGTAAAAATGGTATAAATAATATCAGCGCATTTGTGAAAGCATATAAGACCCACCAGTTGATGTATATTGGACACGTTATGTCATTTGTTTACTCTTGAACATCAGCAAAAATCAAACTTTTCTGCTTTGAGCTCAGTTTCAAGCCATTTTTAGTACTAAAACCAATCAAAATCATCTCTATTTCAGTAATATATCTTCAATTCTATCAAATTAGACCAAGAAACCACAAAAAAGCTCTATAATCATACAAAAAACACTGCAAAGTTGCCATTTTAATCCAAAAATGAGGTGGCAGTTTTTTCTCGTTATGCACTGCGTACTGCAGGATTTGTTTTATGTGGTGCACACTTACCACACAGACGTATTCTCTCACATCTAGGCCCAAATTTACCACTCACAGCTTATCTACGGCTTGGACCCAGGCTTCAAAGTCTCAGAACTACGGGACGGACCCTCAGAGGGTTAAGCTCAGGATTGGGATTCAGGAGATCTAGAATTGCCTGTATACTGGTGCAATTCTTAGCACTGTTTTGTGTAAAAGTAGCATGTTGCAACTGACGCAGCTGACTGGCAAACCTGTCAACCAGCTGCGTCAGTGATAACCGCAGAACGACCAATCAACATATGTTTTTATATGAAATGCCTCAGGCTTAACATAACTTTATTACCATTATTACCATGGTTACTGTTTCTTTTTTTTTTTTTTTCAAAAATTTAGCCAGTGAGACTTGGGGGGAAAGGGGGCAGGGGTGTTCTCAATATTAGATCATAATACATTTAAATAAAATTTATATTATTAATGAAATTTGTAAACCGTATTATATCAAAACCCATACTGTTCAAGACCCGTACTGTTCAAAACCCATACTGTTCAAGACCCGTACTGGTCAAGACCCATACCATTCAAAACCGTACTATGAAAGCATTACTGTATACATACATAATACAAAATACAGCTTCAGCATACCTTGTAGAGAAAAAGAAGAGTACACCTGTATGTCCACTTGGGTAGATGGAATAGATCTTGAGAGCAACTATAGCCAGTATGGCTACCAGTGTTGGCACCAAAACAATTCGAAACATGGCACTCATTTTGCTGTTGCAATCTTTGCTGTAACACTTGTGATAATAAGCAGGTCACGAACAGCAACACTTCTGAAAGCAGATACTCTATTGTATTGCTGCATTTTTAATTACATAGTGTTTTTTGACCCCCATACTGTATTTCTGAATCACATCGCATATTGTATTTTTGAACCTTATATTGTATTATTGAATCACATAATGTATTTTTGCACCCCCATATTGTATTTTGGTTTGGTCATTTAGAGAGAATGGATCCATGTAGAATGACATGGAAAGCGTATAAATCTGTAGGGGAAGGAAGGCGGGGTAGGGGTCGTCCTCGAAAAGGTTGGAGGGAGGGGGTAAAGGAGGTGTTGTGGGCAAGGGGTTTGGATTTCCAGCAAACGTGCATGAGAGATAAGATAAGATTTCGTTCGGATTTTTAACCCCGGAGGGTTAGCCACCCAGATAACCCAAGAAAGTCAGTGCGTCATCGAGGACTGTCTAACTTATTTCCATTGGGGTCCTTAATCTTGTCCCCCAGGATGCGACCCACACCAGTCGACTAACACCCAGGTACCTATTTGCTGCTAGGTGAACAGGACGACAGGTGTAAGGAAACGTGTCGAAATGTTTCCACCCGCCGGGAATCGAACCCGGGCCCTCCGTGTGTGAAGCGGGAGCTATAGCCACCAGGCCACCGGGCCTGAGCGTGTTAAATAGGAGTGAATGGAGACAAATGGTATTTGGGACCTGACGAGCTGTGGAGTGTGAGCAGGGTAATATTTAGTGAAGGGATTCAGGGAAACCGGTTATTTTATATAACCGGACTTGAGTCCTGGAAATGGGAAGTACAGTGGACCCCCGCATAACGATCACCTCCGAATGCGACCAATTATGTAAGTGTATTTATGTAAGTGCGTTTGTACGTGTATGTTTGGGGGTCTGAAATGGACTAATCTACTTCACAATATTCCTTACGGGGACAAATTCGGTCAGTACTGGCACCTGAACATACATCTGGAGTGAAAAAATATCGTTAACTGGGGGTCCACTGTACAATGCCTGCACTTTAAAGGAGGGGTTTGAGATATTGGCAGTTTGGAGGGATATATTGTGTATTTTTATATGTATATATACTTCTAAACTGTTGTATTCTGAGCACCTCTGCAAAAACAGTGATAATGTGTGAGTGTGGTGAAAGTGTTGAATGATGATGAAAGTATTTTCTTTTTGGGGATTTTCTTTCTTTTTGGGTCACCCTGCCTCGGTGGGAGACGGCCAACTTGTTGAAAAAAAAAAATTGCATTTTTAACCCATATTGTATTTTTGAACCCCATATTGTATTACTGAATTACATATTGTATTTTTGAACCCCATATTGTATTACTGAATCATATAATGCATTTTTGCACCCAATACATATGTATTTTATTTTTGAACCTCATATTTCATTTCTGAATCACATATTGTATTTTTTATATTACGTAAGTTTGCATATGAAAAGATATACATTAAAATTAATAGATAATAATAAAGCAAATGAATGGAACAGGAGGTAGGTTATGAGAGTCAATTAAGAGTTTTTAAATAGAGAGTGAAGCTCAGGTTAGGGAAGGCAATAGTATTTCCCCAGTGACAGTAGACTTTGAGGTACATGGAGTCACAGTGGTGTTAGATATATTTATAGATAGGGTTGTGAAAGAAGGGAATGCTAGGGTGTTGGGAAGGGGCATGAGATTGAAAGATGTTAACAATATGACTCACGAAATCGTAATGACACGATTGCAAACAAACCATACCATGGGCAGGGATAGAACCCATGGCCATGGCCACTTGATACCGGAGTTCCACAGGGAAGTGTCCTTGGACCCCTGCTCTTCCTCATTTACATCAATGATCTTCAAAACGTATCCCAACACCTGAAACCCATTCTCTTTGCTGACGACACAACTTATGTCATCTCTCACCCTAATCTTGCCACCCTCAACACCATTGTTAATGAGGAGCTGCTCAAAATATCAACCTTGGATGACAGCCAATAAACTTACACTCAACACTGACAAAACCTACTATATTATGTTTGGTAGCAGAGCAGGTGCTGCACAACTAAACATTAAGATTGACAGCACTCTAATTGCCAGACATAATGAGGGCAAATTCCTAGGCCTATACCTCGACAACAACCTGAATTTCAGCACCCATATCCAACACATATCAAAAAAAAGTATCCAAAACAGTTGGGATCCTCTCCAAGATATGATACTACGTACCGCAAAATGCCCTTCTCACACCATACCATTCACTCATTTATCCATACCTCACCTATGCTATTTGTGCTTGGGGATCAACTGCAGCAATACACCTAAAGCCAATAATAACTCAACAAAAAGCTGCAGTAAGAATAATCACTAAATCCCATCCCTGGCAACACACCCCCCCCACTCTTCATAGATCTAAACTTACTCCCTATTCAGAACATCCACACTTACTACTGTGCAATCTACATATTTTTTTATTTATTTATTATCACACCGGCCGATTCCCACCAAGGCAGGGTGGCCCGAAAAAGAAAAACTTTCACCATCATTCACTCCATCACTGTCTTGCCAGAAGGGTGCTTTACACTACAGTTTTTAAAACTGCAACATTAACACCCCTCCTTCAGAGTGCAGGCACTGTACTTCCCATCTCCAGAACTCAAGTCCGGCCTGCCGGTTTCCCTGAATCCCTTCATAAATGTTACTTTGCTCACACTCCAACAGCACGTCAAGTATTAAAAACCATTTGTCTCCATTCACTCCTATCAAACACGCTCACGCATGCCTGCTGGAAGTCAAGCCCCTCGCACACAAAACCTCCTTTACCCCTCCCTCCAACCCTTCCTAGGCCGACCCCTACCCCGCCTTCCTTCCACTACAGACTGATACACTCTTGAAGTCATTCTGTTTCGCTCCATTCTCTCTACATGTCCGAACCACCTCAACAACCCTTCCTCAGCCCTCTGGACAACAGTTTTGGTAATCCCGCACCTCCTCCTAACTTCCAAACTACGAATTCTCTGCATTATATTCACACCACACATTGCCCTCAGACATGACATCTCCACTGCCTCCAGCCTTCTCCTCGCTGCAACATTCATCACCCACGCTTCACACCCATATAAGAGCGTTGGTAAAACTATACTCTCATACATTCCCCTCTTTGCCTCCAAGGACAAAGTTCTTTGTCTCCACAGACTCCTAAGTGCACCACTCACTCTTTTTCCCTCATCAATTCTATGATTCACCTCATCTTTCATAGACCCATCCGCTGACACGTCCACTCCCAAATATCTGAATACGTTCACCTCCTCCATACTCTCTCCCTCCAATCTGATATTCAATCTTTCATCACCTAATCTTTTTGTTATCCTCATAACCTTACTCTTTCCTGTATTCACCTTTAATTTTCTTCTTTTGCACACCCTACCAAATTCATCCACCAATCTCTGCAACTTCTCTTCAGAATCTCCCAAGAGCACAGTGTCATCAGCAAAGAGCAGCTGTGACAACTCCCACTTTGTGTGTGATTCTTTATCTTTTAACTCCACGCCTCTTGCCAAGACCCTCGCATTTACTTCTCTTACAACCCCATCTATAAATATATTAAACAACCACGGTGACATCACACATCCTTGTCTAAGGCCTACTTTTACTGGGAAAAAATTTCCCTCTTTCCTACATACTCTAACTTGAGCCTCACTATCCTCGTAAAAACTCTTCACTGCTTTCAGTAACCTACCTCCTACACCATACACTTGCAACATCTGCCACATTGCCCCCCTATCCACCCTGTCATACGCCTTTTCCAAATCCATAAATGCCACAAAGACCTCTTAGCCTTATCTAAATACTGTTCACTTATATGTTTCACTGTAAACACCTGGTCCACACACCCCTACCTTTCCTAAAGCCTCCTTGCTCATCTGCTATCCTATTCTCCGTCTTACTCTTAATTCTTTCAATTATAACTCTACCATACACTTTACCAGGTACACTCAACAGACTTATCCCCCTATAATTTTTGCACTCTCTTTTATCCCTTTGCCTTTATACAAAGGAACTATGCATGCTCTCTGCCAATCCCTAGGTACCTTACCCTCTTCCATACATTTATTAAATAATTGCACCAACCACTCCAAAACTATATCCCCACCTGCTTTTAACATTTCTATCTTTATCCATCAATCCCGGCTGCCTTACCCCCTTTCATTTTACCTACTGCCTCACGAACTTCCCCCACACTCACAACTGGCTCTTCCTCACTCCTACAAGATGTTATTCCTCCTTGCCCTATACACGAAATCACAGCTTCCCTATCTTCATCAACATTTAACAATTCCTCAAAATATTCCTTCCATCTTCCCAATACCTCTAACTCTCCATTTAATAACTCTCCTCTCCTATTTTTAACTGACAAATCAATTTGTTCTCTAGGCTTTCTTAACTTGTTAATCTCACTCCAAAACTTTTTCTTATTTTCAACAAAATTTGTTGATAACATCTCACCCACTCTCTCATTTGCTCTCTTTTTACATTGCTTCACCACTCTCTTAACCTCTCTCTTTTTCTCCATATACTCTTCCCTCCTTGCATCACTTCTACTTTGTAAAAACTTCTCATATGCTAACTTTTTCTCCCTTACTACTCTCTTTACATCATCATTCCACCAATCGCTCCTCTTCCCTCCTGCACCCACTTTCCTGTAACCACAAACTTCTGCTGAACACTCTAACACTACATTTTTAAAACCTACCCCATACCTCTTCGACCCCATTGCCTATGCTCTCATTAGCCCATCTATCCTCCAATAGCTGTTTATATCTTACCCTAACTGCCTCCTCTTTTAGTTTATAAACCTTCACCTCTCTCTTCCCTGATGCTTCTATTCTCCTTGTATCCCATCTACCTTTTACTCTCAGTGTAGCTACAACTAGAAAGTGATCTGATATATCTGTGGCCCCTCTATAAACATGTACATCCTGAAGTCTACTCAACAGTCCTTTTATCTACCAATACATAATCCAACAAACTACTGTCATTTCGCCC